TGTCCTGCTTAGCAGCCAACTCGTCCCAGGGCCCGCAGTCCAGCCCTCCAACGGTCTGAGGGACAGTGAACTGGCCCCCTGTGTAAAAAGTTTGAGGACCCCTGTTGATTCTTCACTGGATCACTCAGCTCAAGCATAGCCAGGGATGGAAAGCTTGGGATGTGAGATTCTTATTTTCCTTGCTTACCTGATATCAAAAAAGGAGCTCATATGCATAGCTTTCTAAATTTCTACTCATCTGTGTACCTAGAAACCTGTATACTGACTGAAACAACTCAAATTGTGCTGTGGGATGGGGAGATTGTAAGGGAAGCAGCCTAGCCATATGGGAGGCTGGGAAGCCCCTTGATATAGCATCTTCATGTTTCTTAATTGTCCACTTTGTGTCTTTGCAGCCATCAGAGGACTCCGGAAACAAGGAGAGCTACCTGCTACTGTAAAGTCTGGCCTGTGGGCATTTGCTGAGCACAGAGAAACCCAGGAGAGGAGATCAACAGTTTTGTTTCCCTACACCTCTTGATTTTTGTGATTTAGCCACAGAAAGCCAGTCAGGGTCCCTTAAGAGTTGTTAGGCCCAGAGTGGAGACCTCAGGGCTTTAGGGGACCTTGATGCTATCAGTTTAAACCTCAAGACTTAAAGAATTGAAGGGGAGGAACAGTATTAGAATAAACTTTGGTATTCCCAGTCTGCCTACTTCCCCTTAGCCTCCCACGGAACTGGCTGGAACACTCTACCACCATCTATCCCCCATCACCACCATCACCAATTCTTACCCGTGTTGTGTGGGTCAGCCTGGGAACCCTTGGTCACTTCCAAAGGGCTCCCAGAGAGAAACTGGACAGTCATCCCTCTGTAAAAGGCTGAGGAAAGCGAGGCGAGAAGGTTCAGTTACTTTGGGCAAGTTATTTAACCTGTTTTTCTCTTCATTGTTGATTACTTACCTTGTCCAAAAAGCTGTCCAGGGTAGGGCTTCTCCTTCATTTGTACTATATTCCTGCCATAAGCATATGCCCCTGAGGAGCTCAATAAAGGTTTGGTCAAGTGATGAATGTTCCCACTCTAGTAGCTTCTATCAGCTTTGGAAGAGAATCAAAGCCTCCCTGTCCAGCTCCCACTTTCTTTCCAGCTACGCTGGGCCATGTTTTAACATTTGTTCTAATGTTTTTTGTTGAAGAATTGGAAAGCCAGCCTTCAGTAGGCTTCTGGTTTCCTGTGGCCTGTTCTTAGGTTGATTTATACTAAGCTTTCACAGAGTTTAGGAACCTCTGATAACGGCTCTCTTCCCTAACACCTTCTGGTTAATTTTCCTAACAAAAGCACAAGGGGAAGAAGGGCTGAGTTTAAGGAGAGATGAGAGTCTATCTGGCATTTTAACTTGCCTAGGGCATTGTGATGAGCCTGAATTTATTATGTATTATCAGGAACAGAAGTACAATAGAAAGGGACATTAAAATCTGTTAATTTACGTTAGGCAAGCTATTGAACCTCTGAGCCTGGTTATTACAAATAATAACTAATAATTTATTGTTTCTTAGTATGTACCAAGCACTATGTCAATCATTTATATGCACAATTTCACTTAGTCCTCCAATTCATTATACTGGTTTTACAGACAAGGAAACTGAGCTCAAGAAGGATATAAAACTTGCATAAGGTTAGAATCCTGCTATTAGACTTTGTAGTCCACACTTAAGACTAATTTGAACCTCTTATAGCACTGTTGCTCTGAAACAGTAAAGCGTTGTGTTTGTATGAGGGATTTGTTTAGGGCAGTGGTTCTCAACCTTCCTAATGCTGCAGCCCTTTAATACAGTTTCTGTGGGTCACGACCCACAGGTTGAGAACCTCTGGTCTAGGGTGACAAACCATGCAGGTTTACCCAAGCCTGAGATAGTTTCTGGGATGCAGGACTTTCATTGCTAAAAGTAGGAAAGTTACAAACATTAATGTATTCATCTCCCTGTTTGTATTAGAGGCTCTCAGTCTGGGGATGTACACTAAGACTGCTCTTTTCCGTGGTTTCTTGGTCTGCTAGACCTCACTTCCTGGCCAGGGTTCCTTTAGCATTTTGAATACCTGCTTCCATTCTATTCACCAGGCAAGGTCACCCTGGTCATAGATGAAGAGAGAAATGAAGGCACAGAACCTGGTTCACTATCTTGAGGAGCTAGCATCAGGTTCCTAGGCAACCACACCCTCATCCCCCAGGTGTAGGATATCTACTTAGGAACCATGACATTTTATAGGAAACTTCACAAGGCTGAAGCCAAGCTGATCTGGATTCAAATCTCAGCTCACCTTTTGTGTATTTTCAGGGCTTGTTTACTCCACCAAAGTAGGATAATAATCCCTACCCTCTGAATAGAATTTGAGAAGCAAATGAAATGTGTTTGAAATGCATAGCACAGGGTCTGCTGTAATATTACTCAACACTTAAGTTTCCTTCCTCCTTTGTTTAAAGCTTACAGGTCTTATTCAGGCCTGTCACCTGTCATGTCTGTCTCACATAGCCTCTGTCCTCCTCCAGTTACCACTTTTGTCCCTAGGAATCTTCCTTTGAGAGCCCTGACCCAGTGGGCTTGGCCCACCCACTTAGCTGCCCTGCATGTTAGTCACCTCCTTTGCAAGCTGAGAATGGATGACATCAGCCATTCCCCCTACCCCCCTCCTAAGCCTTTGGACTGTTTTGAGCCATAAATATTTTAGCTGGACCTTTCTTGGCTGTTGCCAGGGTGATGGGCTCTCAGGGGACTGGGGTGGGAGTATAGAAGCAGAGGCGGGGCTGGCAACCTGGGGCCTAGCAGCAGAGCTGGCCCTGATGAGGCCAGTATGAGGGCTGCTCTTGACCAAGAGCCAATGCTTACAGCTCTGATGGCTATGCTCTGCCTGCCTTCCCTTCCTGGGCCCCTCAGAGCCATTCCTATTGCTTACAAGCTCAGCTCTGGTCTTTGGGTGCTCTTTGATGTTAGATAAATTGTTTAAAGGTCTCTGGGTGCATTCATTTTCCCTGCCTCAGTGCAGGTAAGTGGAGACTTCCTAAAAAGGTCATGTGAAACACTGGGCTAAGTCATGACTGGAGAAGCTAGGCTCCGTTGCACATTTTGTGGATCTAAAGGCTGAGGTCCTGGTAGCAATGTGGATTCCACCCAAAAGATGACTCTCCTCCTCTACCTTGTGCTGCGAGCCCATCTTTTTCTTGATTTAATTTATTATTATTATTTTTTGAGACAGTCTCAAGCTATTATCCTGGGTATCATAGCTCACAGTAACCTCCAACTCTTGGGATTGGGATTAAGCGATTCTCTTGCCTCAGTTTTTCTGTTTTTAGTAGAGCCGGCGTCTCCCTTTTGCTCAGGCTGGTCTTGATCTCCCGAGCTCAAGCAGTCCACCCGCCTCAGGCCTCCCAGAGTGCTAGGATTACATGAGCCACCGAGCCCAGCCCAGCTCCTTTTCCTAAGGTTCCCAGGTCTAGCTGAGATGACCTGGTCTATATTCTGAGAAGGAGTTGGACCTGCTCACTTATGACCAGAGTTGATAATTTTTTTTTTTTTTGAGACAGAGTCTCACTATGTCACCCTCAATAGAGTGCTGTGCTGTTATAGCTCACAACAACCTCAAACTTGGGCTGAAGCAATTCTCTTGCCTCAGCCTGCCGAGTACCTGGGACTACAGGCATCCACCACAATGCCCTGCTATTCGTTGTAATTGTCGTTGTTCAGCTGGCCCTGGCTGAGTTCAAACTCCCCAGCCTGGGTGTATGTGGCCGGTGCCCTACCCACTGAGCTGCAGGCAATGCCCGATAAAAATCTTTTTTGTTGGCTCGGCGCC